TATATATATATATATATATATATATATATACACGTGTATATATATACGTATATATATATACATATATATGTGTGTGTGTGTGCCAGCTAACCTGATCATTTCAGGAAATTATATTTTGTAATTTTTATATCGCTTAAAAGTATAGTTTCCTTAAGTGATCAGGGTGGCAAAAGATTAATCTAAGGGGGCCAAGGTCACCTTTGGCCACCCTTTGACTCCACCATTGCACCTGGTAAAATTGCTCCCGCCACTCACCAGGATTCATCACCCTGTGCCGCTTCTGACAAAAAACAAACTCAAAGCCTCCCTCTGTTCTTCTCCACAGTGTAACTTCTACCCACTTGAATATTGTGCAACAAAAAACATTAAGGGTTACTTACATTCACTGTTCAATTCCAGTCTAGAAAAACACTCATCTCAAAAGCTACAAACATCTACTATTCAAATCCATCAGTGACGGGGGGACATCGGCGTACCACTTGTTTGAGAGGTGTTGCTGCCATCAAATGAAAATCCCATTATCTGTTCCAAAAATGGTACAATTTCCCAGTTAAACTATGGATGCATGATATTGGACTTTTGGCCCATATCTGATATGTCAATATGTTAAAACTTACTTGATAACATACCAAAAGCGATATTTTTCTCCTAGACCTGCTTACAGAGACTACATATCTTTCTCTGCTGTGGAATTAGAATACATTATTCTACATGATCTTTGTCAGTTTGATCTGATACCAAATGCAGATGTCAGAAAGGGGCTGAAAATAATGTAACACTTCAACTTGGATTATGTTTAATGTCAAATTTATTCATGACATTTACTCTCTCTAACACACTGACAACACTCGAACAGCGCAAATTTGTACCTTTTATATCGGTGAATTATTTTGATGGAATGGCCAATGTCCGATATTTAACTTTATCGCTAATATCGGCCGATACTGATACCGTGCCGATAATATCGTGCATCCCTAGTTTAAACTTTTGATATGTTCAATATGTTACATTGTGATTCATCATCACTGCGCTCTGATATTATTTACATTTTACACAATGCCCCATCTTTGTCTTAATCGGGGTTGTAAAACCTTGTTTTCTTGGGATATCCTAGATTAAGACTGGACGTAGATTAAATGTTAAACACCAAAACGGGAGTTTTCATGTGTCTGAAGCCTGATCAGAGACTGGAGAACCTGTCGCTGACTTACGAGGCAGTTATCAGGACCCAGCAGACACCAAGACCCTGCAGTGACCACACACCTCTGTGATCAGCTGTCAGTGGGCAGAACTGCAGGCTGGACGAGGATGAGAAACGAGATAACGAGCGTGCGGTCTGTGATCTACTGTGGGAAGGCTGAGGAAAAGTGGAGGCGGCTTTGAAAGTAGATGCCGCTCGTCCCTCTGGTAAATATAGTGT